ATCTTAAACACTAGTTAACATGTAGTCTGGTTATCTTAAACACTAATATATATATAAATCTGATGTAATTTACAATTGTGAATTGAATTGTCTTCTACAGATTTACAGTCATACTGAATGCAATAATGCTTTTAGGTTAAAATAAACCAGAGTTCTTGCACTTTTGACTCTGCAAAGCATTTGTCAAAGACACTGTACTGTTGATATGCCTTGCGTGAAAACAATCACATGAACGCACAACATGAACATGTTAGATCGAGACGCCACGCCAGATAATTACGATCCAGCCCCGGACGCCAGATCCTGTCAGAAAATATCTGTTTTGTCTAATAACAGAACAACTTGTCGGCAGAGCTGCCGATACCCAAAACCTGTTAACAGCAAGTCTTGTCTGGTACCCACAAATACCTAAAACAAGGGTTTTACTGTCTTCAATCAGCCAAGAAGTTGACTGAGTAAAACCAGAGAAGAGCAGAAGCAGGAGACAAAGTGATGATGGGGAAAAAAGAGCAGAGTTTATTGTACAATCTTAGTTGCGTATGTCTCAATGCTCAGACTTCATCTGACGAACACAAATTGAGCAAGTAATGCTATATCAACTGATTCCTACAACATCCCATAAACCTTGGATTTCCATAAACGTTCCCTCTTATCTCTTATTCATAAAGACAAAACAGTTTATGAAACCCCACAATCATGAGATTGAACAATAATGAAAATGCATAAGCAAGGAAAATAATAAGAAATATAAATATTAAAGCATGATAAAATAATCAAATAATAAATTCTATAAATGACTAATGATTATGGATGCTTATATGAATAAATGGATTATAAATGAATAAACACAACACAAATGTATCAGCCTGGGTCATTTTTTTTTCACAGTTCCCTGAGCAGTGTACCTGTTTAAATATGTATTTCTGCTTCAAGTCACTATAACGCTGATGCTGCATTAAGATGAGGCTTTGCTGCTGCTTCTTAGCTCATATTCATCACCTGCTTTCTAAAGTGCATAGACTTTCATGGTAGCTCATGAAGAAAATAGATTGATATTTTGCACAATGTTTAGCTTGATAGCTATGCATTTGTTCTGAATTTCTCTTATCTAGTTAAAAAATAAAGTATGTTTTTCACTGAACTAAAATTGGTTTAATTAATATGTA